ATATATGTATGTATGTATGTGTATATATATATATATATGTATGTATATATATGTATGTAAAGACTGGTTCTACTTTTTAAAAGTTAAAATAATGATATATTTGATGTGATTTGTTCATGATATAAGTGGTTATCAGATAGAAAAATTATTACGTGTTGTTGATTGCTTATAGCACGATGGTTTTGACATGACCATGCTGCCATAGATCACACATCAGCCTATCTGGAACGTAGTTCATATGTATGATTACCACAGATAATCATTTCTTCGTCAGATGTTTTTGAAATAAGGGTATTATGTTCTATGGGCATAAGAAGCATTAAAAGTAGGGATTAGCTTAAGAAGAGTTCATTTGTGCACTCATTAAGTTATAACTCATATTAAGCTTTGGTTAGAAAGCACAACTAAATTTAAAGTTAAAGAGTTTTAATACTATGCTTAGATATCATCATACATTTTAATAGATTTAATTCCAAATGTCCAAAGTGGATTGCATTGTTGGAAATCTTTGTTGGCCTTTTACATCATGCATTGATATTGTAAAAATAAACATGTTTATTAAAATAGGAGCATTATATATATTAATGATATAATTCTTAAGCTTAATTAAATTTAATTTATTTTTTTACTTATATTTATACTAATAAATTTATTAAATAGTAATGTAATATTTTTTAAATTGATAATTGATTAGTTATTTATTAAATTAATTACTAACTATTAGCTAAATTAATATTTATATATACTTTATTTTTATTAATTAATTGGTTTTTTTATTAAAAATCAAACACCACTAATGTGTAGAAAAATCACAGTATTTTCTGCTTCCCCTGCCCGTCCCCTTTCCTGCCCGAAGCTCTCACCGTCGTCGACCTATCTCCCGCGTCTCCCATTCTCGCCCAAAATCACCGGTCCCCTCGCGTTACAGTCGCGATTAGAGGTAGTCGGAAAGGAAACTACGGGATCGCGGAGTACAAAGGCCTCCGAATCGTCCATCTTTCTCCTCCTTTTACTCCGCTCCTTCCTGAAACCATTGAAGAAGGTAACCCTCGGCTTTCTCCTCCTCTCCTCCCACCTGCCTTCGCGATCTTCAGCTTCGCTAAATCCCGTAAATCCGTCTTACAGCGGGATTTAGTAAATCGTAGGTTTAAGGCAAAACGGAGGAAACACATGATTTTGGAACTGTTGGATTTAAAAAAAGATGTCACTTTTTTTTTTCTTTTTAGCAGGATTTAGGTTAAATTCTGCTGCTGAACAGCCCCTTAGTTTTCTGAAATCAGAGTTAGGATGGTCTTAAATTTGATATCTGAAGTTTCTGATTCATGCATTGTATCAGGATTTGTATTTGATGTTATGAATTTTCTGGTGATGCTTCAGGGAGATGAGACAAGCCTTCTTTGGCTTCGGATTAATAAGGAACTTTCATTTAAATTCAGTCCTGCACCTCTTGTAGAATGCAATGATTATGTGCATTCCTTGCATTGATTTATCTTTGATAAACTCTTATTCTTTGATATAAATTCAAAGATTCATTTTTTTTTGTTTGGCTTTGCTCATTAATTGTATATGGGTACTCAGTGGTTAAGCACAAATTTTGGGATTATGGTCGTCTTGGTAATTAAATTATTATTATTTTTATTATCGATATATCATTGCCAGAGTTGTTTCAAAACTTCTAGAAACGATAATTGGAAATAATATTAAAATAATTTCTTCAAATTTGAGATGATGTAGTAAATAAATACCTTCTTTGCTAGTATATGCTCAAACTAAATGCAATTTCTTTTTGATAGATGATTGTAATACCTCTCTTGCTATATGACCCGTTAAAAAAGAGAACTTTTTTCCTATTGTTTTCGTAAAGCCAAAGGCTCAAGTTTGATAAAACCGGAGTTGAATTGACCAAGCTCAATGAGGAGTTTTGCATCATCTGCTTCTGTGGTTGAACCTAACTGTTCACATACGCACCACCCAAGTCCTATGTATTTACATATCTAACTTCTAAACTTTGATTTTTACATTTATACCAACCCTATAGCATAAAAAATGCTACCATTTTAACTTTAAAAAGTAAAATGCACCTTTTCATGCATTGGTAAGGTGGTAGATATATAAAAATTGAAGTTTAATTGTTAGATATGTAAATACATAAGAATTGAGTGGTATGTATATAAGTCTCCCTTTTATTTATCACTTTATGCCAATCATTATGTGATTGCATGCATCTTCCATTATTCGTGAATTCTCTCTTTTTGATGACAGATTTTCATTCTAGTTATTGTTTGTGTTTTTAGATCAACTTATGTTGTTTTTTGTATTATGATGTTTCGCTTTATGATTGCTGGTTCAGCATAATTTTTGCTACTATTTAGATATCTTATTCCAATTTTCCATTCGAGAAAGTCGTCTTAGACGGTTTGGTCACATTAAGCGTCGACCTTCAACGTCGACCATCTGATGATCCGATTAGGAGAGTAAATGTTTTAGATTCGATTTATGTTAAGAAAAGCAGAGGTAGACCTACGAAAACTTGGGCTTATAGTATATAAAATGATCTTAATTTATTAGAATTAAATGAAAATATGATACTAAATAGGACGCAATGGAGAAAAAGGATTCATGTAGCCGACCCCACGTAGTGGGATTAGTTGTTGTTTCTTTGTGCCATGCAAATCAAAATTTTGGAATTCTTGGTTCGTATTCTTATTTTATTCTATTGCTGAATTGTCTTTTGTCCATTCTCTCTATTAGTGATAAAATCTTCTTACTTTTCTAATTGCTAGAGGTAAAATCAGACGATATTAATTTTAGGGGCAATTGATTTACATAGCACACAATTCTCATGTATTTACATATCTTACACCTAAACCTTCATATTTACACACATAGCACTCAAATCCTTAACTTCACATAAAAAATAGAAGCATTACCAAATTTTAAAAATGGATTTGTGGAATACTCCTTTTCATGCATAGCTTAATGCGCCAAAGTGCTATATATGCAAATATGAAAGTTTAGGTGTGAGATATATAAATACATAAGAATTGTGTGCGACGCATGTAAATTTTTCTTACTTATATTGTGAACTGAAAAAAAGGTTTGGAGTTGAGATAACGAAGTGTTCCTTCCAGGAAGATGACTGGTAGTGTTGTCGATAGCGAGAAAGAACAGAAGATGGTTTTCGTAACGGTTGGAACTACTTGTTTTGATGCTCTTGTCAAGTCCGTCGACTCTCAGCATGTGAGGAATGAACTAAAGAAGAGGGGCTATACTAGCGTTCTCATACAAATGGGGAGAGGATCTTACATCCCATCAAAGGTTCTTTACTTCTTCCTCACATTAATCACTGTAATTTTTCATGCTCTTTGATGATGAAGGTTTCTACTAACAGGCAATACACATATATTGGGTAGATTGCATTTGTCAATAAATACGCAATAAAAGGTTGGGAAGTGTCAAAATAGTTATTTTAGTCTTTGTAGGGGGTCATTTAAGTTCCTAATCTATAAAAAATATCAAATTAGTCCATTATCTCTTTTAGCATGGGCTAAAATAGTCAACAGAAAGGACTATTTTAACCCCAATTTAAAAAGTTTTGGACTAAGATTACCAAATATAAACAGTCGGGGGTCTATTTTAGCACTTTACACATAAAAAGTCCCAAAAAATTTTGATAGAAATGAGAATGTTAAGATGAGTATATGATAATATTAGGATGGATAAAATTAGATATGATTTAGTGATTGGGTTATACCCAATAATGATCAGAAGTAGAATTTGATCATTTGAGTATATAGCAAAAAATGTACTGCATTGGATGAACATGCAATTATTGTGGAAAGAATAGATGGAAAAGGGTACCATGGATTGATGGATAGAGTTTTGTGAAACAATTTATGTAAATTAGGGTTAATACCACTTTAAAATATTTATATGAAAAATGGAAGAACAACTAAGACAGATGAACTGAAATTATTTCGGCGAGGTTCATGAAAATGGTGTTATAATAGTAATTGATGATTCTCTACTCCATTCTATATTTTATCATAGCTTAATATCAATCTCTCAAAAAATTTAAATTTTAAGAGAAAAATAATTAAGTTATCGAGGAGAATTGAAGGCTTGTTTGGGATTAATTTTGTTTCTAAAAATAAGTTAGCAATTTTTGAAAACATTCAAAATAATTTTTAGTTATTTTGAAAGCTATTTTGAGTGTTTTTAAAAATAATCATATTTCAATCAAATTGACTAACGTGTTTTGCTTCAAATATAGACAAACAAAAGAAAATGAAATAAAAAACAAAAGTGTTCCCAATGGGCGCTAAAGATTTTAGTCTTTTGGACCTGGTACCATGTTTTTACTTTAGATGGTTACCTTTGTTCTTCCAAACTAAGGAGAGAATTGTGCTTGTGCTTGCTATAGAAAGAGATTTATTGAAGTATCAATACAAGTTCCACTTTGCTAACATGCTCCACCCTTCTTCTTTGATTTACCATATTTTCTCTTCGTTATCTATCTTGCCAATTATGTTTCAGAAAGCATTTTAACATTCTAATTTTGTTTTTACAAATCTGGCCAAATATTAGTTTATCATATGTCCAATTGAAAACATTTTGTTTGTTCTTCAACACCCACCCCTACCCCTACATATATTCTCTTCTTTTGTACTATCATGCACTTCCACACCATTTTCTTGGGAAATTTACATACATACCAAACATTTCTTATGTATTTACATATCTAACACTCGAAGTTTGATATTACACTTATAACCGCACTTTGGTTTCATAAAAATATTTATAAAAATGTCTATTTCACCTTTAAAAACATGTTGATGATGGTACTTTTGATGTGATATAAAAGATCTGAGTGGTACGCATATAAATATGGATGTTTACATGTTACATATGTAAATACATAAAATTTGTTTGGTATGTATGTAAATGCCCGCTCTCTTTTTTCTTTCTTGCATAAGACTTCTTTGACTCTTTAGCATTAATTGCGCCGAAAAACTTGGTTTTGTTCACTGAAACTGCATAAGCGTCAATTTTTGGTGAAAACTTGTGTTATGTAATAATACTTTCATAGTAAATATTGATAATTTTTGAAAGACAACTGAATGAATGTCATGCCCAGAATGCAGTCTTGCGGAGAAGAGGATTGTCTTATTGTGGATTATTTTAATTTCTCTCCCAGCATTGCTGATTACCTGAGATCTGCCTCTCTTATTATCAGCCATGCAGGTACATGTTTCCATTGCCTAAGTACATTTTTGTCATATCTATTTGCAGTTCTGCACCTATATTTATGGACTAAATGTTAAAACTATACATAGTATAAATATTTCAAGCCAATAATACACCTTTTCATACATAGTTAAGGTGTTCTATATGTAAAATTGAAGTTTAGGTGTTAGATATGTAAATACATAGGAACTGAGAGGTATGTATGTAAATCTTCCAAAGTGAAAATAATGGGAAAAACAGCATTTTAGCTAACAAAAACTATTACAGGGAATACCATTCCATGAAGGCCTTGGCACCTAAACCAACAAATTATAGCTATCAAACTATTTTTTTTCTTTAAAATTTAGCATAATGTTTAGGAAGATTTACATACATACCCCCACTCAATTCTTATGTGTTTACATATCTAACACTCAAAACTTCAATTTTTATATACATACCTCCTTATCTTTGCACGAAAATGTGTATTTCAATTTTTTTAAAGTTAAAATAGTGGTATTTCTTATGTTCTTATGAAAAATTTGAGCAATGTATTGAAGGAATTGGCTGGTTTGTATGCAAATGCCCCTAAATTTTATATTATGAAATTCTTATTTATTTTCCTTTATTGCATGCTCCATCACATTAAGAAGGTGGTGAGACCTGCAATGCGCTATGGCGCTGAATGTTGGCCTTTAAAAGAGAAGCATAGTACTAAGTTAAGTGTTGCCGAGATAAGAATGATTAGGTGGATGAGTGGCTTTACACTTAAGAGACAAAAATGCGAAATGAATATATCCGTGATAGGTTTGGTGTAGCTCTAGTGACGGACAAAATTAAAGAAAGTTGTATTCGAAGTTTGGTCACATTAAACGTCGATCATCTGATGATCCGATTAGGAGAATAGATGACTTATGTTAAAAAAGTATAAAAAATTATCTTAATTTATTAGAACTAATTGAAAATATGACACAAAATAGGACGCAGTGGAGAGAAAGGATTCATGTAGCTGACCCCACGTAGTGGGATTAAGGCTTTGTTGTTGTTGTATATTTTCCATCAATGATTTAAAATTGATTGTACTATTTTGGCAATGCAGGATCTGGAAGCATATTTGAGACGCTTCGATTGAGGAAGCCGCTGATTGTCGTCGTGAACGAGGATCTGATGGACAACCATCAAAGCGAACTCGCCGAAGAGCTCGCGGATCGGAAACATCTCTTCTGTGCCACTCCTCAAACTCTAGGTCAGACCATTCAAACCATGGATTTGGATTCTCTTCTTCCTTTCCAATCAGGGGATGCCATCCCTGTTATAAAGCTCATCAATAAGTTCCTTGGTTTCCCTGCTGAATGATCAAAATTCTATAAATACTTGAACATTTATATATTTATGCAAATCACCTTCTTAGCTTGGAATTAAGATGTCAAATTGGATTTGATTTAGGGTTTCTGTTTGTGCATGGCTTCATTTTGGGAGGAGGCAGAGAAGGATTTATATAAACTTAAAATATGTAACTTTATCAACACGCATCATTAAATTGGTGATGCCAAAACATAATTGAGAGCATATTTTTTACCAAGAAATTGAATTACATATATTGTAGGTACATTTACATAATATCACACATTTTTTAATTATTTACATATCTAACATTTAAACATTCATATTTACATACATATTTATTAAATTTTTAACATTGCCTCAAAAATAAAATAATCATAATTTTTTAAAGTGGTATATATATATATATATTAATTATAAAGAATAAAGTATCAAAATAGTCTCATATTTTTTAAAAATGAGTTCTAATAGTTTTTCATAGGGACTATTCTAACTCAAATTTAAAGAGTATATAGATTATTTTGATATTTTATAAATTTTAATATTAAAACGGCTTCATATAAATAATTAGAAATTATTTTGGGTATTAATGTGTTTTAAATACATAATTTGTGGTTGTTGGTAGAGCAATTTCTCTAAAGATTGTAAGTCTCTTCAGGTCACGGGTTAGAATCTCTTCACGTGTAAGGTATGGTACTTGAATATTTAGCATACCTAGGGATGATCAGAACTCGTCTAATAGTCTCCGGCCATTCTTTTAAAGTAATAATAATAATAATAATACATAAGAATGATGTGTTTTATATATATATATATATATATGTAAATTTTACTATATTTTAATATCACATGAAATGTGTAAAATAATATTTTTATTCAAGTTATATAAATTATTTTATAATTAAGCTCAATTCGCGCGGTTAAATGTCATTATTGAGACCCCATTTGTCACATGGTGCCGCCAACCGCTAGAAAGCCAAGCTGTCATCATTAATTGCTTACGTGGCAAGAATATGGGCGTCCCCGCAAAAAATTAGCGCCACCAACCGTTCTGCCGTTCTGTGTCGGCTGATCCAGATACCGGTCCGAACCAACTAAATGCTAGACTCCTGCTTACGTTCACCCATCGGTGTCGGGACCGTGAAGGTTCTTACCGTTCCATCTCACCATCACGACCGTTCATGGAAAACAAAGTACGGTCAGGATGCTGTGATTTTAAATAAAATAAAGACGGCCGTTAGGCGTTTTTTTTATTCCACGTGGCGGCTGGACAATCAACTGCCGACGGATTGGTGATCTGTGCCTCTGCTAGTTGTAATTTTTTTATAAATTTATTTTATTTTAAGATAAATAATTAATACTTTTTTAAAAAAAATGATGAAATTTGAGAAATAATTTTTGCATTAAGTGCGAGGAGAAACATTTTCTTATGGATATATCGATCACAAACAAAAAGCAAATGTTACTTAAAATCAAATTTTAATGGATAAATATGTTGTGCAAACAATGCGAAAAATAAAATTACACGACAAACAATCAATCGAAAACAACACGAACATAAATTACTACATCATATGTTGGTTTTTCGCGTTAGGTTAATGTATTAGACGGGAGTGCAAAATGAATCTATAGGCATATGATAAGATTCATTTGATATGATCAAGTCATTTATTATCTCCGCAAAAATCAAGATAAAAAAATGCATCTTTTAATGCAAAGGTAAGTATTAAAATTAAGTTTAAGGGTCAGATATGTAAATATATAAAAATTGAGTGATTTGAACGTAATTTTCTTCCTTCCTCCACCTTGCACTTTCTTCCAAAACAAGAAGTGCTTGCTTTTTATCCATGGTTTTTCTAAAGAAAATTAAGCGAAATATTTGACCGTTTAGTTGAAAAATAGCCAGCGCATACGTCTGCTGGTGATTTTTCAGTGCATAAATATGTCAGCAATTGCTTTAATATCGTTGAATACTTTCACCCCAAAATAGTATTTTTATATTATCCTGAAAGAATTCTGAATTTATTTTATTTTATGTAAAATAAATGCAGGGCTTCATTTGAAGAAAACTAAAATCAATATCAAATTTGTAATTAGCAGCGGTGGGTGGACATAAGTTGCCAACAACAACGAGATATAATATCACGTCAGGATATAACGTTAGGAGTCCAATGATAGGGCGCCACGTGTCAAGCGAGCCTCACCGTAATACACTGACATTGACCATTATTAAGAATGATGGAGCCCGCTTAACAAGTGGCGCCCCACCATTGGATTCAAAATGTATTTTTTCACAACAACGGAGGTGGTGTATTTCAAATTCCGTCAAATCTAATAAATCCCAAATATTTTAAAAATAAAATAGATGGAAGATTTACAAACATATCATTCAATGCATATGTATTTATATATCTAACACCCAACCTTTAATATTTATACACATTACTATAAAAGAAAATGTATATTTCACTTTAAAAAGGTTAAAACGACAGGGTTGTCAATGTGATATGAAAGATTTAGGTAAAGTTTACATATTAGATATGTAAATACATAAGAATTGGTTGGTATATATGTAAATGACCCCACAAAAAAAATGGCTCCTTTACCTCATAAGTATTGGCAGGTTTCTCCACCTTCTGCGGTCCCGCACAAAGCGGTGAGCGGAGATTCCTCTCCATTTAACAAACCTTCTATCAGCCGATTTTATCTGCTCTACACCAACTTCCATAATTTGTGAAGAAAATAAAATAAAAATTACAGATTTACATTGCAAAATGGACCAAAATTAAAACTTTTCTACATTGGTTGTGGTGAATCGTCTCACTACTCCATACATCAGAAAGCGACGCCAAAGTTTTCTTTTTTATTCTATTTCCTTCTCAAAAGTTTCCACTCTACTTTATGCAAGCGGATATATCTATCTACTCTGGTTGAGCTACAGTTGGAGGGAGGTGAGAATCCGAGGATAGTTGGAGAAAAGGATGGGGCAAGAGGAAGCGAAGAAGGTGGTGGTTGAGGGATCAACGGAGGGGGCTGCTGCTCCGCCGCCGGCGAAGCCTGAGAAGGAGGTGGCTCCGGTGGCGGAGGAGAAGACGGTGAATCCGCCGGCGCCGAAGGAGAAGGCCGCCGACGAGCTCAAATCTCTGGCCATAGTGGAGAGTTAGTGCTCATATCCCCTCTCTCTTTGCTGTAATTTTGCTTTCTGTTGAGTTCCGAAGTCGGGGATTTGAAGGAATTTGGATGGGTTTGGGATTGTTAGGGATTTGATGGAATTGGGAAATTTTAGCGAATTTATGGGATCTCTGTTCGTCTTTGGTAATCAAAAGCTTCTGAAGCAAATTTAATGATTTAGAGATGAAAAACTGTAGTTTCAGAGTGGTTTTGCTGTTGAAATCTCTGGTTTTCTGCAGGTGTTTTGATGTTCTTAGGCTTTTATCTTCCTCGGGACTTCATTTTTTTTTTTTTTTTGCAAATATTTTGTGTTTTTGCAAAATATAAATTAATTGTTCCAGGCTTTTTTTTTTTTTTTTTGCAAATATTTTGATTTTGGATTAAGGCTGCTCTTCTATTATTAAAAATGAAATACAATTTTCATGCATAAGCTTATGAAACCAAGTAAAAATCAAACTTTGGTTGTTAGATATGTAAATACATAAGAATTGTGCGGTGTGTATGTAGCTTTCCTCCCTTTTTTGTGTGTGATTTTAATGAAGAAAGATGGTGAGGTGGATTGTAGCTGATGTTATAGTTATGAAATAGTCTCATTTCATGGAATCATGTACTTTTTATGGCATGTTTTGCTTCCAGATTAGTTCATCATTCTAATTCTAGCTATTTTCCTGATTTAGTTTCTTCATCTTTAGTCTTATCCCCCTGAGTATTTTTAACGTTTTGCCACACTTAAATTTGTTTTTTTTACATAGTGGACTTGATTGTTGTTTTCTATACCTAACTTGATGCATACAATCTCAAGTGGTTGGTTGGGAGTTTAGGCTTTCAACCTAATCTATATCATCATGTTACAAGTTGATTTTGCAATAATATTAATTTAAAGTTATCAATTTCATAGCAAAAAATTAAATGAAAATATGAAGCTCAATATCACACAATGGAGAAAAAAGATTCATGTAGCCGACCCCACTTAGTGGATAGATGCTTGTTGTTATAGTCGTTGTTGTTGTAATTTCATAGCATAGAAATGGATTAAAATGCAAAACAATATTCTATGATTAGGGGCGTTAAATCAAGTTCATGGGCCGGGTTGTTTAACCCAAAATAGACCCGACTTGAAAATGTTGACTTGAACCCAACCTGAATATTATATAGGTAGAAAAGTGACGCAAACCAACCCACTTTCAACCTAAATAACATGAATCTGACCCGCATAACCCGTTTAATACACGCATAATAATTATTTGGGTCAAATTTTCATTAATTTCGAGTCAAATTCAAGTTGAAGTGTCATATTTGAGTTAATTTCAGGTTGTAGGTTAGCTTCATGTAAATTTACCGATGGCTGGTCAACCCTTACCCGACAAAAAAGCCAAAATGTGTTGGTATTTTGGACTCAAACTCAACCTAAAATTAATCGAGTCAACCCGAACCCGATTTTTTGAATCATGTTAGAATCAAGTTAACGTGTCGGGTCCATTTTTAGCACCCCTACTATTGATACAATACTACTTATTTTCTAAATTTTTATCCATTGTTTTGGATTTTTAAAATATTTTAAATGAGGTCTTACAATGTGTTCATGTGTGTGTGTGTGTGTTGTATTTATACACACACATATGGTATGATATCTATAGCTTTCTATGTTTAAGAACATTGTTCAGAAATCAATGAGGTGGACGTGTCATTGCATTTTACATAACAAGAATGTTTTACTCTTTTTTTAATGTTTTACGGCTTATGATTTTTATTAATAAAGCTGATGTTTTTTTCTTCTTAAGTTATTTATGTTGCGGATTATTTTTTATCAATTATATCAGAGACCGAATTAAAGTATGGTGTGTCACTTTGCTGTTGAGGAGAGCACAGTGCTGCAGCACAAAACATGTTAGGTGCATTGACATACATGCCACACAATTCTTATATATTTACATATCTTAACACCTAAACATTCATATTTATATGTATATCACTGAAATCCTTAACATCACACCAAAAATATCACCATCGCTATCTTCTTAAAACTGAAAAACACCTTTCTATGCATAAATTTATGACGCTAAGGTGTTGCAAGCATAAATATCAAATTTTGGATGTTAGATATGTAAATACATAAGAATTCTGTGGCATGTATACATAAGTTGAAGTATCTATCGCCTACCGGACTGTATAGTAACTTGAATGTTAAAGCTTCATCATTACATATGAGCTTAAATAATTACAGTAATTTTTTTTATTTTTTCTGGCATACATTTTGGACATTGATGCAATTCTTAGTTCTTACCGTACTGTGTATTTTGCAACAGAGGCCACAGATCCCTCTAGTGTGAAAAGCAGCAGTACTTCAGTTGATAGAGGTATTTTAAATTGAAATCTTTGAATATTATTGCATTTCTTTCAGTATCTTCTCAGTCAAAGTTTAAACAAATTGTAAGCATTACGTACCTTTAGATGCCGTTCTCGCACGGGTTGAAACGGAGAAGCGAATGTCGTTGATAAGGGCATGGGAAGAGAGCGAGAAGGTCAAAGCTGAGAACAAGTTAGTATTCCTACAAATAATGTTTCAAAATATTGTTTTTTATGTTATTCAAATTCTTATATTTAATATATGATCGATTCACAAAGATGGACTTCCTACTATTGGATGTGCAAGTGGAATTTTCTATTTCTTATCATTTGTTTGGGGTATTTACATATATATCGTACGATTCTGATGTATTTTACATGCATAACGCTCTATTATTAATTTTTCAAATGTGAAATACGAATTTTCATGCATAGGTATATGGCATCAAAGTGTTATAAACATAGTAATCAAATTTTAGTTGTTAGATATGTAAATGCATAATAATTGTATGTTTTGTATGTAAATTTTCCTATTTGTTTATGAAGTGAAAGTGTCTAATAACCTTGATGAAATATATGTGTGTGTTTAGGTATGTTTATGCTTTTATCTTAACTTGGTTTGAATGTATGCATTTACAAAATCGACTAACACAAATGTAGACATAAATGGGTACATTATGTAGAGATATTAATTGATAGAACTTATATAGCATCATGTATTGCTATGCTGACATACAGCTGATGGGATGCATGAATGAGCATGCATATACATGCCTATTAAGTAACATATGGTTGTACTAATGCCCAAAATTGTATTAGAATTTCTCTGCACATGCTTGAAAAAATTAGTAGTGAAGGACTGGGTGTTCTAAAACAATAAAATAATGGAAGATTTACATGCATACCACTAAATTCTTATGTATTTACATATCTAATACCCAATTCTTATGCATACCACTAAATTCAATTTAATATACAAGCCATATGCATGAAAATGCGTATTTCACTTTTTAAAGTTAAAATAGTGGTACTTTTGATGTGATATTAAAGTTTTGGGTGGCATGAATGTAAAAAAATAAAGTTTGGGTGTTAGATATCTAAATACAAAGCAATTGTGGGGTATGTATGTAACTGCTCGAATAAAACTGTTCTCATCGCATAAACTTTTTTTTTCTCTAGAAAATGCTTCGCTGTTGTAACAAATTGTCCACAAGACTTCTCTCTTCATAATTCAAATTTGTTTATTTCTTAATCTCTAATGAAGTTTAACATTTTGTAGTTTCTGTTCTCTACAGTATGTTTTGAGATGAGGCATTAACATATTTAACACCTATACTTTACTTTTTTACATTTATACCACCCAAATCTTTCATATGACATAAAAAATGCTACCTTTTTAGCTTTTTAAAAGTGAAATGCACCTTTTGCATGCATAGGAGATGTGATATATAAATAGAAGTATAGGTGTTAGATATGGAAATACGTTTGAATTGTTGAGTGGTAGGTATGTAATTTTTATTTATTTTTTTTAGATGTACTGCATTTTGTTGAATAATTTTTTGCGCATAAATAAATACTTATCATCAATGGGTCCGACAGAGCTGTCAAGAAGATGTCTGCTATTGCAGCATGGGAGAATGCAAAGAAGGCGGCTATAGAAGCTGATCTGAAGAAGATTGAGGTTAGCATTTTCTTAACTCATTTTGTTACACTATAAAAATTACATCTTTATGGAATAAGGACTCCCTCTTATCTTCATCAGTGGATTGGGGAAAATTTTACGTTTTTTTTTAATTTAAGCTCAGATTTAGTGTTCAATTGTATCCTTTTTGTGGCATATATTTACATATCTGACACCTAAACTTTCAGATTTAATTGAATGACACTCAAATCTTTAATATTACATAAACTATACCACTCTTGCTAACTTTTTAAAAGGGAAATGCAAATGTTCATGCATAGATTCATGACACGAAAGTGTTAATATAATTATATATGTAAATTATGTAAATACATAGGAATTGTATGTTATATATAAATTTGACTGTTTTTTTTTTTCTAGTTGAAGACTGACGAAGAAATACTATGTTAAACAAGCAGGAAGAGTTGGAAATGAAGAAAGCATAATTGGAAAAGAAGAAAGCAGAATATGTTTAAAATGAACCTAAAAAAAATCATATTGATATGCATAAATCTCAGCGCACAATTGGATCAAAAGCTTTAAAAATCAATTTTGGAAATGCCCACCGACCCATTGTGATTAAATGAAGCGTCTCAGTGAGATAAATCAAATTACATCGAAAATGATCTGATATAAATTCATGTGAGCCCAAATAATACACTTAAAGTATAAAGAGATGCTTTGGGGGACATGATAATTAAATTTATAATTAAATCGAGCATCTCGACGAAACGAATCCAACGATCTTAAGATCTTTTAATTCTGAGTCATTAAAGCACCCAAATACCCGTAAAACATCATCTGATTACAGAAATCACTCGAGTTAGTCCGATGTAGTTGTCCGGATTCATGCAATTTTTATGGAGAATGTCACTAAAATGATTTATAAATAGACCCCATGCTCTTCATGAAGGCGGACCGAGACCTGAATGAGAAGGTTGAAGGGAGCTCCAAGCACTTGAGTACTCCGAGCTCCATTGCCTTTAGACCATCGTCGTCAGGCCGTTGTCGGACCACATCTGCTCAACTGTTATCATCTTTAGACCGCCATTGTTGACCGCATCCACTGTCGAACCACTGCCGTCCGACAACCGCTATTGCTAGACCACAAACGCCTGGCTCTTGCCGCCATGCCAAACCGTTGATGTCAGGCCACCGCCACTATGCTGAATCATTAACACCCGACCACCACCGCGACCCCCCCCGCCTCGTCAGGCCACCATTATAGGGTTGTTGTACCATCATCGTCGGGTTGTCGTTGGCACTGTTGTGGGGCTGCGACCGCCGTATTGGACCACTTTTGTCGAGCTATCATCACGACTGGACCACTTTTGTCGAGCTATCATCACGACTGGACCACTTTTGTCGAGCTATCATCACGACTGGACCACTTTTGTCGAGCTATCATCACGACTGGACCACTTTTGTCGAGCTATCATCACGACTGGACCACTGACCCCATACCGAAGTTGTGTTGTTGCCTCCATTAGGCCACCATAGTCGGATTACCGGCGTTGTGTCGTCATTGTCATCACCACTAGACCATCAACACCCAACCAATGTCGTGTCGATGTCGCCAATATACCATCACGGGACTAAGACCTCTATATTGGACCACCGTCGGTGAGCTGTTGCCACTGTTGGACCACCGAAGCCCGATAAACGTTCTGTCGCCACCATCGCCAGGTCACCGCCACCATTTCGGACCATCGTTGTTGAGCTATCGTCACCACTAGACTACCAACACTGTGCAGCCACCAACATGCCACCATTGCTAAACAACCAACTTGTTGTTGGACCACTATTGTCAGGATGCCGCTGCCACAAGACAATTATCACCCAATCGATGCTGAGCTACGGTCCACTGTTGCCACCGTCAGACCGCTATCTTCAGATAATCGTTACCGTTGTTAGGTTGTCATCACCAAAACATTGTCATTATCATTGGATCATTATCTCCTGATTGTCGTTATGCCAGATCATCGACACCCAATAACACCGCTGTTATGGTACACCACCACAATCATTGGATCATCGTATATCAACCGTCGTTATGCCGTATCACCTACGTCTGACAGCCACCGTTGTTGTGGTACACCATTGCTGTCGTTGGATCATCTTCCAACAACTGACATCACTGCGCCGAACCATCTTCGTCGCCGAACCTCCATCGCTTAGTCGACTCTGCCATTATAACTGGATCACCTTCGCTCAGCCACTACCGCCATCACAATACACCATCGTTGTCAAATTGTCATCGTCATATCACCGTTGTTTGGCTATTGCTACTATTGAATCACTATTGCCTAGCAACCATTATCATCTGTGATGATAAATCTAGATTATCATCACAATACATAATTACTGTTGCATAAATTTAGTTAAAACTTATAGTAATTAAGAAAAAACATAAAGTTAACATTTTTTTGGTGTGGAAATGATAATTATTGTGCAACTTTATGTTCGACATCGTTGTCAAATTGTCTGTCATTTTCCCAATATTTTATGCCACTTCAATAAAAGTAAAGTCAATTTATCTAACTATTATAATATTTTTTTTTCTGTTATTCAAAAGTGGACGAAGTCTTGCAACATATATTTAAATAGTTGAATCATTTCAACTAGGTTAGATCCTGTAGTTTTTGCTTTTCAAATTCTCCACGTAAAAATATTTTGTCTCATCCAACAGGTTTTCTTTTATATGCGTGTGCTAAATTTTCGCACAATTCCAAGTTATTAATATCTTTACCGCTGTGAAATCTCCAGCACTCAACAATGTTAAAACTTATATCCTTCAAATTTAAGTTCAACATAAATTCTTTTTTTTTTTTTTTTTTTTTTTTTTTGGCATATATTACTTATCTAACACCTTAACTTTCATATTTACTTTCATAACACACAAATCTTAATATAACATAAAAAACTCCACAATTATTAAATTTTTAAATGCAAAATGATATTTTCATGCAGAGATTTATGTCAACCGTGTTCTAAATATAAAATATCAAACTTTTTAAGCGTTATATATGTACATTTCAAAAAAAATAAAGAAAATCTATGATGAATGATCAGGAAGAGTTGGAAAAGAAGAAAGCGGAGTATGCGGAGAAGAAGAAGAACAAGATCGCCATGATTCACAAGGAAGCTGAAGAGAAGAGAGCAATGGTGGAGGCAAAACGCGGCGAAGATGTTCTCAAGGTCGACGAACAGGCCGCAAAATATCGTGCAACGGGGCTCGCGCCAAAGAAGCTACTTTCATGCTTTGGTGGAATGTGATCATTTTCTTCTCGTGTTTGTGAAGTTTGTTTTGATGTTGATGTTAATGGTGATAACTAGGGCTGTTTGTTTCAGTGTGTGAAGATTAAGTGTGTTGTTCTTTGTATAGATATGTGCAGTTTGAAGGAACATAGTTTTGTTTGCATTATTATTATTATTTTCTTTTTGGGGGGCTTGTGAGCTGTTGTTTTTGTTTTTGTTTTTTTTTTTGTCAAATATGGATGACAAAATCTGTATCTGAAACTAATTTGATAAATTTCATCTCATTCTCTAATCTTTAATGTTTAAATATTTTCATATTACATGAGATGTGATATGTAGATGTGGTTGCAAGTTCTTTGCTTTAAACTTCCAGCTTTTACTTCATTTGTGTCATGCATGTACTTTGTTTGTGTTAGATGGGTTGATGTTGCTATTGTTAAATATTGGCCAAGTAGGTGTTAACATATGAAGATTTTAAGATTGTGGAGTTTAAAATTTTGGCTCATTTACATAAATACCACCCAATTCCCATGTATTTATATATATAACATGTAAATTTACTTTTCTACGTTTGCATACCGCTCAAATTTGTCACATCTAGGGGTGTAAAAGAGCCGAACACGAGTGAGCCTAGACCCAGCTCATGTTCGGCTCGTTCATATTTCGAGCTCAAAAAGTGTGTTCGTGTTCGACTCGTTTGCTTAACGAGCCGAACACTAGCCGTTCATGAACAAAGAGTCATTTTAACAATTCTAATCACGTAGTCATAAGATGTTAAGGATTGGGGCAAGATTTAAAACATCATTTAAATCTAATTTAATAAATTTTTATTATATTTACTTCATTAATACTTTTAATTGATTATAAATCTTTGTGGTCTTGCAGTAAATTAATTTTTTTAAAAATATTACTCATCAAAAATATATATATAATTGATCAGTAATATTTCGAGCCAAACACGAACAAACAAATATTTATTTTCGTTGTTCATGTTCGGCTCGTTAACTTAGCGAACGAGCCGAACACGAGTTGTTCGCAAAAAACGAACCGTTTTGACAGCCCTAGTCACATCAAATGAAAAATATGCATCTGAAAATAATGAAGTTTACTTTGACATTAGCACCATATATGAAATTTATCTAACATTAATTTCAAGAAAGTCAAATATTTTGAGCTAATTTTATATTAATCTCAAAGTCTTTAAGATTTAATAATTTAGGTTCTTTAAATATAAATTGGTAAGTTTGGGGGTGAAATTTCAAATATAAAAAATTTTGGATGCTACATGTATAAATCCCACCATAATTTTATATCAAAATATCCTAAATTTCTAACATTATTTTTTACCTTATTTAAAAAAAAAAACAGAAAGTGATAAATTACAAAAGACTTCCAATTTCTTGCATTTGCAGTGCATTCAAAAAGAAGCTATCTATTCAAACAAAGGAGAAGCATTAAATATTGCAGTTTCCGTTATAGGAGCACCTAAAATAATGCAAACTCTAATTTCCGGAGATGCAAAAATAAAATAAAATAAAAGAACTAAATTCGATGCTGTAGTGCTTAATATTGATACAAATGCAACGAGTTTACGAGGTTGGAGATAATTGCCTGAGCTTGGCTTGCAGGATCAGCCCAACTTCATCTGCTACGCTTTTCTTCTTTGTAGCCATCTGCATATATTATAGTTGAATGTGTAAATTTCCTTTTTGGAAAATTTACATAGATATCACTAGGGCTGTCAAAACGGCCCGTTGTTCGCGAACAGCTCGTGTTCAGCTCGTTAAGAAGCTTGTATTCGGCTCGTTCGCTAAGTTAACGAGCCGAACACGAACAATTCGTGTTCGGCTCGTTTTGGCTCGAAATACTACTAATAAAATTTGTAATCAATTAAAAGTATTAATTAAGAAAATAAAATAAAAATTATTAAATTAGATTCAAATGATGTTTTAAGTCTTGCCCCAATCCTTGACATCTTATGGCTACGTGATTAGGGTTGTCAAAATGACTCTTTGTTCGTGAACGGTTTGTGTTCGGCTCGCTAAATAAATGAGCCAAACACGAACACACTTTCTGAGCTCGAAATACTTTTTGAGCTCGAAATATAAACGAGCCGACACAAGCTGAGCCTGGGCTCGCTTTGTTCGGCTCGTTAATATAAACGAGCCGAACACAAGCTGAGCCTGGGCCTGGGCTCGCTCGTGTTCGGCTCTTTACACCCCTAGATACCACTCAATTCCGTGTAGTTACTTATCTAGCACCTAAACCTTACACATATCTAACACCTATATGTAAAGTTTAGGTGTTGGATATTTAATTACATAGGAATTGGGTGATATGTATGTACTCAAATAATTTATTACTGATTTAAAATTTACACAAGAAAATTAAAGATATTCATGAACAATTAGAGAGCAAAAAATTTAAAGACAATTTCTTCAAAATATAACCCTCAGATTGTAAGTATAACATAGAACAATAAAAAAAAAAGATATTTAAAGTAATTTTGAGGATGGAATAATAATTTTTTACAATATTTACATGAAATATGAAGAGGCGTGACAGCGAGATAAAAGTCAAATGACATTTTAATATTATTGTTTTTTTTCACAAACATCATTTGTTATGATTCTTTATTGAAATAGGGGAGATTATATGGCAACACAATGTAATCTAAGAACCAAATTGAGGACAGCTTTTTGCCGTTTAAATTTTCAGAACATTGCAAGCGTTAATTTGATTACTGCATTCTTGTTACATTTCAAAAATTTATGTGATAGACAGATATGTTTTGATCATTGTTTTAAATTGCATTTTGGTGCTTTAAATTTAGGAATAATTACATACATAATACCGAAACATCACTATTTATAAAATCTAGCACCCGTGTGAAATTTTTGAACTACCAAACCGATATATTTATGCGTGCCAGGATCAAACCATTGAGAACTTCACAAAAAATGAAAAATTTGGGCGACGGTTTTGTCATGAAATTTTGATATTTGAGTGAGAATTTGCTATGAGGGGGCTAACCTAAGGGCAAATTTGTCTTCTGTACGCCTAAAGACAATTTAGTCTATTATTTTATTGTTGTTGGTATAAATAGACTTATTATGTTTAGGGTTAGTTTTTATGCATGAGAATGAGTTGTGAGTCTTAGATTTAGGTTTTGAGAGAGATTTTCTACCTCTCAAATTATAGGAATAGGAATTGAGAGAGACCGCCCACCTCTCAAATTGTAGATGTTTATCTTTATATTTGTGTGATTTGTTTGGATTATTGCAATAAAAATTTATGTTTGCCATGATTCCTACAAAAATATGCATAGATTTCTATGAAAAATTGTAACAAATTGGTATCAGAGCACGATTTTGGGGTGATCACCAAGGAATCGCTACAGACACAAGAACGGTAGGTAGTTGGCGTGAGAAATAGTGGAGAAGCATCAATGGGATCCCTTTTTGAACAAATCCGGCAATGCAATCCCTAGAAGGGAGGCCGCCACGAGATCACAATGCATTGAGAAGGATTTGATGAGAAGAATCACGACTTACTGAGATCCAAAACTCCTTCGTGCGGAACCCAACGATACAATCACACTCCGAGCTTGCTGAGAAAGAGGGGTCGCAAAGGGTCGTAGCTTGCTATGAAAGAGGCGCGCGAAGGAACGTAGCTTATCAAGACCCAAAACTCTCATTTTCCTCTACCTCCTGTGTCGTCTAAGTGATCCAGTCATGATCAGGGCTATCTAGGAAGTCAAGCGCGAGGGATAGTGATGCACAAGGACCAAAACTTTCATTTTTTCTTCCTCCTGCATCATCTACACGATCCAGTTGTGATCATAGCTATCTTGGAAGGCGGGCATGAGGGATCGCGACACACAGGGACCCAAAACTTCCATTTTTTTCTTCCTTTTGCGTTGTCTATGTGATCCAAATGCGATTAGAGCTATCTGGGAAGGCAGGTGTGAGGGATCACGACGCATATGAGCCCAAAACTTCCATTTTTTTTTCTTCCTCTTGAGCCGTCTACGCGATCCAATCGCGATTAGAGATATCTGGGAAGGCAGGTGCAAAGGATCACCGCACAGGGACCCGAAAGTTCCATATTCAAGGATCAAGTGGATTTGTGTGCATACAGTCGCGTTACGTGCTTCTTGGGAAGGGACGACAGAATTAAAAGCATTGACGTGATCCGAGCTATATGAGGAGAGACGATGGGAATTCAAGGTATAAAATGTCTTTGAGATCTTTTCTTTTTTTTTTTTTTTTTTTTTTTTGGAAGAGATGACATAAAAAAATAGATAATCTGAATAATAAATTGGAAGAAGAGATAACTCAAATCAAATCTGTGATGGAAGAAAGATTCAACACAATAGAACATAATTTCTCTTCTATGAAGAATCAACTAGAGGATCAATTCAAGAGCATGGAGAAAACTCGAGAGATGCTAAAGAGACTCATTGAGATGCACTCCATAAAGCCGCCGACAATTCAATTTGCAAACCCTAACCCAAGAAAAAAAGATCGAATGTGAGGAACATGAGGAAAACATTCATCATCACAAACCTCCTCTCAGTGCTTCGATTAAGGGTGGATTAGAGATTTCTGATGGTGGAAGATGGACCGAAACATATAGAAGAAATTATGTCAGAGGTATAGAGGAGCGCGAAGAAGGGAGAGGAGGGGGAATATGGCTACGGTCAAAGGACTGAGTTTTACCCTCGTTACATTGGGAGAAACAACAGAGGAAAAGGAAGTTGGGTGGAGATGTTAGTTAGGAAGTTGAAGATGTCAATCTTCAAGGGAGAAGATGCAAATGGGCGGTTGTATTGGGCGAAGCGATACTTCGTGATGAATGAGTTAGATGAGGAGAAACTCATGGTGGCAAATTTGTGTTTAGAGGGGAAAGCCTTGGTATTGTTTCAGTGGAGGGAGGCTAGATACCTGATTCATTTATGGGATGAATTTAAGGATTGTTTGTTTGAATGTTTCCAAGTCATTCGAGAAGGAGGCCTACACAGCAATTCCATAACTTGAGTAAAGAAGGGGCAGCCATAGAATATAGGAAGAGAATTGAACTATTGTCGGGACAACCGTCGGAAATTTCTGAAGTAGGATTGGAAGAGAATTTCATGAAGGGTTTAAAGCCTGACATACGGGCAATACT